ATTTATTGTTAAACCATATGCTGGTTCAGATAAAAGTATTGGTTGTTATGCATCCGGATAAATTTTTTTTTAATATAAGTATGTATTGATGTTTGATTTTTATGTAAACCATCTGATACTTGTACAGTTACATTTAATATGTGATCAATTAAGCGATGTGAATTATGATTTAAACGTAGATGACTTGAATTTTGACGAAAACCAATATTTAAATAAATTGTATCAGTATTTGATAGGAATGTTGTGGTATATGGACTTTCTTCTGTAGACAAATATATTTATCATGAATAAGATCATAAATAAGTACATAGAAATTAATTAAGAGGAGCATGAGTGCGACAAATAAATCAATACGTAAATAAATTTATAAGACTGTAAATAAATACATAGGCCAATACATCAATACGTAAATAAATTAATGAGACAATAATAAGTAAATAGACAAATAAATCAATAAGTCAATAAGTAAGTAAATAGATAAATAAATCGAAATGCAATAAATAAATAAATAAATGAACAAACGACTCAACAAATCAATAAGTGAATAAATGAGTAAGTAGATAAATAAATCAATAAATTTATAAGTAAGTATATAGACAAATAAATAGATCAATAAATAAGTGAAGAGAAAAAATAAAATAAAAATAAAAAATGTCAATAAATAAAGAAAGAAGTAAATCAATATGTAAATAGATATAGAAATGCATTAGTATAGAAATAAGGTAGTAGGGAAATAAGGTAGTAGGGAAATAAGGAAATAGAGAAATAACTCAATAAATATAAGAAATGCATTCATATAGAAATAAAGAGATAAATCAATGAATATATGGATCAATAAGGCTGTATATAAATGTATGTGTATTTATGTATAATGACCAAAGAGAGACGTAGAATGTTTATTATGATTAATGCGGAGGGTGTCGGCCTTGGTCTTAGGGCGGAGCACTTCTCACAACATTAACCAGGATAAGTTTAGAGTATTAAGACTTTAGGTGCAGAAGAAGAAACTTGACTACAGTGCAAGGAGTGTTGACCTTAGTTTAAGGCAGAACATCGCCCATAACACTGATAGTAGCGAGTCGAGAATTTTGGAGACATGGGAATGGGAAATATAGATGGAAGTGAGCATTAGTAAATGTATGTGGGATAAAGATTATTATAATTATTATTGTTATTATTGTTATTGTTGTTATTATTATGGACATTAGTTATTATTTAACTGACTACTTGGATAGCATGTTTTGTCTCATTTATAGATTTATCAAGTGTCCTATTAGTTAATATGCTTTCTTTAATTATTCGTTTTCTCCAGTCACTTTCGAATGCTAATGTCTTAGTGTTGGAAAAGTCAAAATTATGTTTAAATTTGTGAATATGTTCTACGGGTTTGGAGTCTGATGATAGTGTTTTTATTTTGGCTTTATGTTCTTTCACGGGTGTTTCTTTCATTCGACTTGTTTCTCCAATATATACTTTGTCACAATCCATACATGGAATTGAATATAGTAAGTTCTTTTTCTTTTTGTCTTCATCAATTCCTTTAATTTTTGGTAAAAAGATACTTTTTAAGCTCATGTGTTTTTTAAAAGCGAACTGAATTGTTAAGTTAGGAAGTAATTTACGACAGAGCTTCTTTACCCGAGAAGCAAACACAATAGATTCTTGTCGAAAATATTTTATTGTGAAGAAAATGACTTTTTTGTTATTATTTTCATCTTTCTTAGTATGAGACATTGTTTTAATGAGTATCTCTCCTTCGGCTATACCTCTTTTTATAATATGTGGTGGATATCCATTGTTTGTTAGTATTACTCTTAGTAGATTTAATTCTTTAGTTATTAGTTCTTTACTTGAACAAATTCGGTAAATACGTATTACTAGTGTTTTAACAAGTCCTAATTTATAATGACGATTCTGACTACTATCCCATAACATATAATCCTGTATGTGTTGGTTTACGATACAGTGATGTAGTTAGTTTATCTTGTTCATGAGTTACTAGAACGTCAAGAAATGCGATCCAATTATTAGATTCGAACACAAGAGTAAAATGCAAGTTCTGATGCCATTTATTTATACGTGTATGAAATTCAAGAATTTTCGCTTTCGGAATAGTGAATATACAGAAAACATCATCAACGTATCTTAGCCAAATCATCAGTTTGTTGGTACTGAACCTATTCAATTTTTCTTCCATTTTTTGCATCCATAAGTCTGCAATTATAGGTGCTAATGGATTACCCATAGCGACACCATCTATTTGTTTATCAATTTTACTTTGAAATCGGAAAGGTGCATCTCTTATTGATAGATTTAAAAGTATTCTCATTTGTTCTTTATTGAAAGGAACATCGATTAATTTAGTTGGCTTACATATATAGTTTAATGTTGTTTCTATTGCTTCTTCAACCGGTGCATTAGTATATAAACTTTCTACGTCGAAATTACACATAATATAGGTTTTTTGTTCATCTAATACAATTTCTTTTATTCTTTTTACAAATTAGAAAGAATCTTTTATATATGATTTCGCTTGCAGACGTGCATCTCTAATTGCTTGAGCTAGATATTTTGATAGTTGATATTGATAACTTCCTATAGTTGATATTATAGGTCGTATAGGATATCCAGTTTTATATGCTTTAGGAAGACCATAAAAGACTGAGAGTGAAGAACATATCGATTGTAATTGAGAACGAAGTTTATTATCTAGTGCTCCTTCTTTAAATAATGAGAAGATATATTTATTCAATTCTTCTTCTCATTTTCGATGAAATTTATCATTAATTAATAGTTCAAATTGGTCTCCTTTTAAGATGTCTTCAGCTTTTTTCATATATGCTTCTTTATCTAATATCACAATATAATTACCTTTATCAGCTTTACATATAACTATGTTATTATTAGATTTTAGTGATTTTAAAGCTGCTAATTCTTCATCTGAGAGATTACTTCTTTTTTTAATGTTTAGATGTGCGTATTAATTGTTGTGATGCATTATGTATTTTACGGCAAATTGAACGAAAAACTAAATCATGACAATGAGACTGTAATTTCATTACATTTAATTCAAGATCTGTTTCGAAGTCTAAGAAATTCGTTATTTTATTTTCTATACAAAAATCCCAACCACGACATAATAATCTATCTTCTATCTGTGAGAGGGTATGTGATGATATATTATGAATTAATTTTAATTTCATTTCTTCATAATTTTGTCCAATAGGACCTCGATTTAATTTTTCTAGTTTGTCTTTATGAGTTTGCATTACTTTAGTATGTACTCGACTTGCTGAATCATAACAAAATTTTTTACATTAACATAATCTATTGATGAAAGATGTTTTTCTAATTCTATTAAGATAGACGAAACTTGTTTTTCTAATTGTCTCGCTTGTTTCTGTCTACATTCGAATTCACGTATAAGATAGTTACGTTGAAAAGATTTATATTGTTGTGATTTTTTTATACCTGGCTTCCATAGACGAATATTAATAAAATTAGGCATTAGATTATAAATTAAATAACATCTAAGAAATTCAACATTACATTTCGCTTTCTGTAATTTTTCGGTTAATCTTTCACAATATCGTATACTTACCAGAATCGATTCGCCATATTTCAAGCGAAGATTTGAAATAAATCCAGAAGATAGAGCAATAGGAAATAAATAGGAAAATAAAGAGATAACTGCTGTAAATAACATATTTATTTCAAACAGAAATAAAAAAAAAGAGATTCGAGCTTTCGTGCCCTTATCTGGAACACATCGTCAGGAATGACAATACAATATCATTCATTGTATTTATATAACAAGTAAGCAGAAAGAGAGCAGAACAACGTCAGAGGAATATTTCAATAAATAAAAAAAAAAGAACAGTCCCTACAATCAAATGGACAACGTCGGTAATAACAATCAAATAGGTCGACACATTGTTCAATACTAATTATTTCTTTTTCTATTTCTGGTTGAAAAAAGGGTATTATGAGATGGATAAAGATTTTTTTAATCAAAAACTCGTTTTTATATTTCACACTAACATTTTTTTTCGTTAACCGATTCGTTACATTAACATTGTTATCTTGATGAAAGTTATAGAAAAACTTCCAAGGTGAAGAATAAAACATACGATTAGTTTATTTTGATTCATTAAAGAAAAAGAAAAAGTATATGATTTTCAATCAAAGTCAATTTTTGTTATCAAAAATAAATATTTATATTTATTCCAATCCATAACATAAAAATTATAGATTTATATTAATTCCAATCAATATTATCGACATCAACTATTTATATCAATTGAAATTGATATTGTAAAAATTAACTATTCATATGGATTCGAATCAATATTGTAAAAATCAAGTGTTTATATTTATTCCAATCGATTTCATAAAAATTAACTATTTAAATTGATTTCAATGGATATTGTAAAACTCAACTGCTTATATGAATTCGAACCAATATGACAAACATCAAATATTATATTAATTCCAATTGATACTATCAAAAACAAATATACTAATTCCAATCAATATTATAAAAATCAGATATTTATATTATTTTCAATTAATACTATAAAAATCAGATGTTCATATTTATTCCAATCGATATTATAGAAATCAAATATTTTGTATAGTTGAAATCGATATTGTAAAAAGCAAACAGTTATATTAATTTTAATTGATGTACGTATCATAGGAATTAACTATTTATAGTAATTCCAATTGATTTTATAAAAATCAAATATTGAGAATAATTCCAATCGACATTAGAAAAATCAAATATTAATGATAATTTCAATCAATATCACCAATGTCAACTATGTATATTTATTCCAATCAATATTAGAAAAATCAGAAATTTATATTATTTTAAATGAATACTATAAAAATGAAATATTTATATTAATTTTAATTGATATATATACATCATAAAAATCAGCTATTTATTTCAAGAAATATTGTCAAAAGCAACTATTGATATTAATTCCAATCAGTATGATAAAAATCAACTATTTATATTTATTTGAATCGGGTTTATAAAATGAGCAATTATTTATTTTTACTCCAATCGATATCATAGAATGATGAACTATTTATATTGAATAAAATTGATATTATAAAATGATGAATTGATTATATTAATTCTAATTTAAACATATATCGTAAAAATCAAATATTCATACGAATTCGAATCAATATTATCAAAATCAACTATTTATATTTATTCCATTTGATATTGTAAAAATCAAATATATATATATTTTAATTTCTATTGAAATTGTAAAAATCAAATTTTTATTTAAATCAATTTAATGCTATAAATCTTGAGATGTCAACTTTGATGATGATGACGATTATCGATGAAAACGATTTTTCTTCCATGTGAAAATTGTGCATTAAATTCATTCTGATCCAATCCATATTTGAAAAATAAATCAACATGACAATGACCATTCTGTAATGGTAAACCGATCGGCAAATGGTATTTTTTGGTTTTACATGAGCATATATTGTAAAGACTGTTTTCACAAATTGCATTCATTTTCGGAGAGTAAATTTCAACTATGGCAATAATTCAATAAATTGAAAAAAAATATGAGCTAATCTATACATTCATTAACACAGGTATGACTGTGCTATATATCCGTCAGGTCATAAACAGACGGTGAACGTGACCCATTCTTTATTCGTCTCGCGAACAATTACAATATGAAAATGACCAACAAAGTCAATAGCCATCGCACAATATGTGCTTCTCATCGATCTTAAAAATTAATACCTATGCTATTCATCTCAATGGATAATTATTTCATAAGCCCTAAATTGTGACTATCTCCAACCCAAAATACTTCAACATTGTTACTAACTTCCAAAACTTTATCAAGTTAATTCCGTTATCCAAACACATGCCTTTCTACTATTACCGTCTCCATCATACAAACGTACAACTTAACTTGGTCGACAACCAAATCTCACAAGTTCACACCAGAAGATTTATAACATCGAATTGATTTAAATATAAAAATTTGATTTTTACATTTTCAATAGAAATTAATATCTATATAGTTGATTTTTTACAATATCAAATGGAATAAATATAAATAGCTGATTTTGATAATATTGATTCGAATTCATCTGAATATTTGATTGACAAAATAAATATATATTTGAAATAAAACTTAAATGAAAATCAATTTATTAAATTACAAGAAAAATATAATTGTCAAAAGAAAACGTTTTTCTATAATTAATTTTCAATATGCAAACAAATTAAAAAAAATTTATCCGGATGCACAACAACCAATACTTTTATCTGAACCAGCATATGGTTTAACAATAAAT